AAGAGCGGAAAGCAGGCAGGGCAGGGACGAGCAGGAAGCCGGCAGTTTCACTAGTCAAAACCTCAGACCCAAGCCGCCCGGCTGAGACCCCCGAGAACCGAGGGGTGACGCCCGCAGAGGTGCTCCCACCGTGTTCCGCCCCGTGGACTTCACGTCGGTGCTTCCCACGTCCTAGCCCAGGTTTCCTACCAGGGAAATGGGCATCATGCCGCCTTGCCTTCTGGGGGCATCTATATGCCTACACAGGTCCCATACCCAGGAAGCAGACCCTCTACTAGGGTTCGACTGGCAGCCCCCCAATGTTCCCGGACATCCTCAGGAGAGACGCTGGAGAGTCCCAGCCTGGCTTGTTCAGACTCAAAATGCACCAGGTGTCAGCAAATCAGCTCCAACTCCCACGCAGCCTTCTCGCAAGCTGCCTCCTGCGGGTGGTGCAGACATCTGTGATTCGATGTTAGGGCCGTGGGCTGGAAGGGAGGCCCTGTGAGCAGGGGCAGTTCCCCAGGGCCTGAAACAGCGCCTGGGAATATTCACTCGGACCAGCAAAATTCTCATCACCAGAGTCACTTCTTGGGGTTAAGGCATGAAAGACCCCTGTTGAATACGTCACGTCATGGAGGGGCCATACATAGTAAGACATCATCAGCCACTAACACCTCCTTGTGACTTCGTCAGAGTGGCCTCAGAGTGCCCTCTGCCCCTGGGGACCAAGATGGGCAGCTGAGTTCTGGTGGGAGAAGGAGTCAGTCTGTGGGCAGAGGGGGAGGGGACAGCACAGACGGGTGTGTTGTATGGAGGGACGTGGTGACAAAAAGAATAAAAGATTTCACAAGGACACTGCTTGGCAACGCAGAACCAGCCAGACTGCCCTATCCGTCACCTTTTGTCCGATGGGCCAGATCCTGAATGTGAGGGCCAGGCCCACTGACAGACACTCGTCCAGCTGGGGGTGTGGCAGGAGCTTGGCGTCCCAGAGCTGGCCTTGGCCTGGGGCCATGAAGTTGGGTGTGCAGGGATGAATACATGGCTAGACACCCACCTGTCTCAGGAAAGGGGAGAGCGGCTGGAGTGATTGGCACTCAAGAGGCGGGGCTACACCCATGCTCTCTGCCAATCCACTTGCCCACTGGCTCCAGACTCCTGACACCACTGGGGGGCAGTTAGAGACATTGTGGGGGAAGCAGGGAGACAACATGGTCATGTGACAACAGCTAAGCGTGGGGGCGGCCTTGGCCTGTCCACCACAGGCTGGGCCCAGGGCACACAGGCCAGCAGGGGCGAGCCCCAGAGAGGCTGTCTGGCCATCCGCGGTCCTGGGGTGGGGGGTGGGGGGAAGTGGAGGGTTCGGGGGATGGGGTCAGGGGAGGGCGGGTAGGCAGTGAGCTCAGCAGGGCGAGGACGACATCTGGTCGTAGTCAGGGCACTTGAGCAAGGCTGGGTAGTTGCTGTTCATCTGCAGCGAGGCGTCGCTGGAGATGTCGGAGGGGCTGCGGCCCCGGACCCAGGCGTCTGGGTGCAGGAACTGGCCTGAGTAGTCGGAGCAGTTGCTCAGCCGCGGGCGGTAGAAGCCGGGGTGAGGCCTGTACATGTCCTCGGCGGTGTACCTCTTCATGAACAGGTACACGGACATCACGCCCGCGCTCTGCAGAGAGAGGGGGCAGAGGAGAGCTCACCACTGGGGGCCTGGCGCCCACGGGTCTGCATGGTCAGTGCCCCGCTCCCCACCCAGCCTGTGGGGGGCGTTACCTCCGTTAAGAGGAAGGAGATGGCAGAGAAGGCGAAGGACCAGCCGTACTTGTAGCTGAAGTAGGTGTCCGCGTCCTTGGTCCTGTTGAGCATCTCGTCGTTGATGCTGGAGATGTAGAGCACCAGGCCCACCACCAGAGAGAGGCCTGGAGCAGGGCGGGTGTTCAGGGAAGGGCCGCGGGGTGCGGATGGGGCGCCCGCCTCCCCTGGGGCTCAGGACGAAAGCCTGGGCCTTGTGGTGACAATACGCTCATTATGGAGGTCAGAGGGAGCCGGCGCTCTCCCCCCGAGGCCCTGTGCAGAGCTGCAGTAAGACAGCTCCCACCCTGTTTTGTTTGAGAGTTACTTTTGGGTGGTGAACACACAAGACAATACACAGATGACGGATTATGGAATTGCACCCCTGAAACCTGTGTCATTTCATGAACCAATGCCACCCCAATAAATTCAAATAATAAAAAAGAAAGAAAACAAGCGCCCTGGCTGGCCGCCTGCTGAGCCATGGTAAGCCCGAGGGTTCTCACCCCACCTGCCCGCTAGGATCACCTGTCAGACATAGATGCCTGACCCACCCCGGACATTCCGAGTCACCCTGGTGACCTCATGTGAATGATGGGTGAGAACCATGAGCCAGCAGGCAGCTTTTGCTAAACTGAGGAATAAGATAGGCCCCTTGACAGAGGCAGCAGCCTCCGGTTTCTGTCTCCAGGGCGGAGGAACATCATGGAGGAGACCAAGTGGCTCACGGTCCACCCAGCCCACCTGACCCCTGGGTGTGGCCTGTTGAGATCGCTGGGCAGAGAGGCAAGGAGAGTGTGTCCAGATTCTAGCCATCGCTAAGTCGGCGGGGCCCAAACTCCCGGCGCCGTTGTGCCAATGACGGCCTCAGGCACCGGTCCCATCAGTTAGTGACTGTAATCGAATCAGGACATAACTAATTGCTCTGTTTTGAGCTATTCAGGTTTAATTCCATTTATGTGATTAAACTAGGGCCTCTTGAAGGATGACTGTTCAAGGAAAATCAATGATTCAAGACTTCCTTGGCACTTAACGTGTGTTGGCATCACTGGGGGCTCAGGGGACCCTGTCCATCGCTATCGTCAAAACAACTTCCCGTGGCCCGGTTCCCATCCCTCATCCCGGTTCCCATCCCTCAGCCCGGTTCCCACCCCTCGGCCCGGTTCCCATCCCTTGGGCCGGTTCCCATCCCTCAGCCCAGCTCCCATCCCTCGGTCCGGTTCCCGCTCCTCGGCCCAGTTCCCATCCCTCGGCCCGGCTCCCATCCCTCAGCTCAGCTCCCATCCCTCGGCCTGGTTCCCGCTCCTCGGCCCAGTTCCCATCCCTCGGCCCGGCTCCCATCCCTCAGCCCGGTTCCCACTCCTCAGCCCGGTTCCCACTCCTCAGCCCGGTTCCCACTCCTCAGCCCGGTTCCCACTCCTCAGCCCGGTTCCCACTCCTCAGCCCGGTTCCCACTCCTCGGCCCGGTTCCCACTCCTCGGCCTGGTTCCCATCCCTCGGCCCGCTTCCCATCCCTCGGCCCGGCTCCCATCCCTCAGCCCGGCTCCCATCCCTTGGACCGGTTCCGATCCCTCAGCCCGGTTCTAATCCCTCAGCCCACTGCTGAAACATCCCAGGTGCCTCTGAGCTACGGGGTAGCCTTGACTATCGCCAGGTTCATAGAAAGGGCAAGAGCGTCACCGCGTTCCTGCCTCTGGACGAGGGGGAAGTACCGCCCCACAGAGGGCGGGCTGAGCTCTCTTCAGGTGCCTGATAACGGTGTGCTGGATGGATGGACAGACGGGCAGAGGAATGAATGGCTTCTCAGATGGAAGGATGGACTTCCCGGAGCAGAGCTCTGTGGGAGTCGGAAGCCCATGGTGCACGAAAACAGCACACTCACCCGAGAGGATGAAGAAGATGCCGGAGACAAAGGCCAGGATGGTCCTGTGCGGACGGATGTGCCCGATGTTGCTCAGGATAAACCCAATGAACATGAAGAAGAGACTGACCAGAGGGAACGGCGTGGCCGAGCGAATCATTTCTGATGGAGGGGACAAGAGGCCTCCATCAGCCCAGGCGCCGTCCTCGCTGCCTACCCTCCTCAGGCGAGGCTTCCTGGCAGTTCTGCCAGCTGTCAGGTCCCCAGAGCTGCACCTGCAGGCACTCCCCAGCCTGCACCCCCTCCTGCGGTGGCCTGGGACCTCCCAGGGCTTTGTCCCTTAGCCCTTAGCCTGTGGAGTCTGTGCTAACCCAGGGGGAATTGTACTGCAAATGCACCCTAGGGGCCAGAACCAGCTCTGGGGGCCAAGGCCCAGAGCCAGTCTTGTTGGGGGCCAGAGGGCTTGATTCAGTTCCCTGAGTACTATGGTCTGAATGACTGTGTCCCCAAATTCCTATGTGATGGCATCAGGAGGTGGGGCCTTTGGGAGGTGCTCAGGTCACGAGGGTGGAGCCCTCACGCAGGGGATTAGTGCCCTTAGACAGTGAGGCCCCGCAGAGCTCCCTCACCCCTCCCTCCCGCTGTATGAGGACACAGGAAGAGGCCCCACCAGAACGGGCCATGCTAGAGCTTTGATCGTGGACCCCTAGTCTCCAGACCCGAGAGAAAGACATCTCTGGTGTTCATACGCTCCCTGGTCTGTGGGGTTTTGCTCCAGCAGCCCAACCAGACTGAGATGCTGGGTATGGATGGCCTCTCACTCGCCTGGGTCACAGGACCGGGGCATTTCAAACCCGTCACCACCCCTGGATCAATAATCGACAGTAAGTCCCAGGGAGCTCAGGCCAGCACCACCAGCTGAGTCTGAGGACCAAAGAAACAAGCGGTCACCCGTCCCTTCCCTCCGCCCTGCTCACTGCCCTGTCTGGCCAGGGCCCAGGATGGCGTCTGGGGCACCTACTCAGAACGTTGACCGTGGACTCGGATGTCAGCTGGCTGTTCATGGGCATCACGTACTCTATGGTGAAGCAGCGTCCGCGCTCCTCACCTATGGAGACAGGGATCGGTTACCTGTCCAGGTCCTTCTGGAAGGTGGGTTTGAAGTATCGCCCACCCTAGAAACTGGTGGATGCAGTGACGTTGAATCAAGGGGACCCGGTCGCCTCCAGAACCTTCATGCCCTCGTGTGCAGGGTGGGATCAGGAACCAGTCCTGCCTGGCAGTGCTGTGGGCATGGAGATCAGTGAAGCCCTGGCTCAGGCAGGGAGGGCACCTCTAGCCCTGAGCTGTGCCAGCCGCCCTCAGCCTGGAGGTGGAGCGGGGGGAGGCATGGTCACAGTCACCTTTCCCGTGGGAGGGCCCAGGTCCCGGGAGACGAGAGGACTTGCTCAAATGGACACTACACGCCAGGCTCCAGTCTGGGGTGGGTCCTGGTGGCCGCAGGGACACGGACCGGGTTCATGAGGATTGTCCGGGGGAGCCGCCTCCTTCCAGCGGGGCCTTGCCTCCCAAGGTGGGGTAGGGGGCACTTGGGCAGGCTCACCCTGTGCCCTTACCTGCGAGGAAGCAGACGCGCCACAGGCCCGAGTGCAGGGACATCCTGATCTCCGTGCTCTGGTTCTGGGGCAGGACCACGCCCTCCTCCAGGTACAGCCAGTAGTCGGTGCTGACAGCGATGCCCAGGAGGCCCAGGCCGCACACGGCAAAGACGCTGCTCAGCAGGGTCAGCGCCTTCCTCCCGCAGGCGCTCATCTTCCCGGACGGTCAGGTGGGCGGCCTGCAGCCGTGGTCCCGCCAGCAGCGGGCAGGCTCTGGGGACACGAGAGAGGCTGGGCACTCAGGCAGGAGCAGCCAGGGCTCCGAGGAGGCCAGGATGAGGGACCGTGGCAGGTTACTGAAGCGAACCCCACCTGGCTAACTGGTGAGTACAGACCACCAGGCCGGCCGGCTCTCTGGACACCAGGCCACTGGTCAGAGGTGCCACCCTCTTCCTCCCCCTGCCAGGAATTCACAGCTTTCTTGCCAGGCTACAAGGGGCCACCTTGTCCTCTGTGGGAGTCCCCATGCTAGATAACGCTATTCATTCATTCATTCATTCATTCATTCATTCACCCAGTAATCCATGGTGCCCAACATGGGAGATAAAAAGACTGAACATGATGCTATCCTTGACTTTGAAGATGTCCCGCCTAGAAGGACCAAGGCACCCAGGGGATCTGCCCGAGAGCTCAGGCGCAGGAGGAGGGGTGAGGGTGAGCTCTGCTGGGGGCTTCTCATGTGGAGGACTCTGAGGGTCCCGTGCACCCTGGCAGAGCCGCGGCGTCTGGAAGGGGAGCGGCCGCAGCCTCAGGAACAGGCAGAGGGCAGAGCAGGCTTCTGGGGAAGGTGCCTTCCTCCTGGGCTGTGATCAGTTGTAGTTCTAAGTCATCGGAAGCAAAGGAGCCACACCACAGTCCAAGGTCAAGGGGCCTCCTGCACCCACCGCGTTAGGAGCCATTTGACTCTTGCCTGCTCAGCACACAGTTATCGGCAGGAGCCAGCTCTGCTCCAGCCAGAGAGACAGGAAGGGTCTCTTTACAGTGAGCCACAAGCGCACCTGCGGATCTCTGCCAGCGCCAGGCACTGGGCTTGGAGCTAGGAGACCTGAGGAATAGGGAAGATGGGTGCTGATCCCCCTTTCCCCCATGGAGCCCACAGCCCAGCGCAGGGCTCTGATGAAGAATCACCAGGGAGTGCCCAGCAACCCCCACCTGGGCACCCCTCTCCGCGCCTGGTGCAGCTGGGCTCCAATGAGGGCGACACGCTTCCCGAGTGCTCCCAGTGACCCTGATGGGCAGCCCGGGCGGAGAACGAAGGCCTTTGCTACCCGAAGTGTGAACCATGGGCCGCAGCATCACCTGGGAGCCTGCTAGAAATGCAGCCGCTCAGGCTCCCCCAACTTTGTAAATGGAATCCATGTCGTAACAAGATCCAGGTGAGTGTGTACCTGCTCAAGTCTGAGAACCGTGCCAAGCAACCGGTGGCAGGGAAGCCAGGAGTGATGAGCCCAGAAGAGGGTCACCCAGGCGGGGAGCTGGAGAGACGGACAGAGGATGGGGCCTGGCACTCGGCGTGCCTCGCCTAAGCGGCCACGCTTGCAACATTGCCGAGGCGTCAACCCTTGGCAATAACGCACAGCCAGAAATGCTGAAACAGGACATTAGTGTTAATGTTCTGGAGAGTGTCAGGCCCCAGCACCTGTGCCGGGAGATGGAGACACCTGTGGTGACCCAGGGGTCCTACTCAGGGCTGAGGCACAGGTGGGTCCTGGCTGAGCCAGCGGGAAAGGGACAGAAGTCACGCTCACGCGGGAAGCGCTGCTCTAGGCCATGAAGGATCTCATTGCACATTCACAGGTTAAAGCCTTGGAAAGTGTGTTTAGCTGCACTCATTCCAGTGTTTTCCAAGCATATCTGTCCACACAATGGCGTCTCGTTCTGTGAACCCACCTCTTCAGGCTCTCCCCCATGAAGAATGACAAGGCCTGCCCCCCCTCCTCCCCCATCCCTAAGTTGCTGGGAGATGAAATGGCGCAGCAGCCATGCCAGGGCTTTGGAAAGTTGCAGGCACGATGCTGGTGTAAGGACTGTTATTAAGCAGTGATGGGCAGATACTGCTAAGCTCGTGCTCCTGTAAGGCGGCCAGATCAGGGCTTCTGAAATATGACAGCTAGTGGCTGGCCAGAGCTGAACGTCGATTTTAATGATAATCTTGGCAGCAAGACAACAAAAACCTTGGGTCTTGCAGGCTTGGGAGGATGAAAGTGGAGAGGAGATTGGATCTGAATCTCCAAATGCAAGAAACAAAAGAAGCTGTGATGACCCACCGAGCTCTGTAACAGCCGAGCGAGCGTGAAGCCTGGAGGGAGCTTGGGAAAAGGGGAACGTCCTTCCAGAGTGTGTGGCAAACTTACGGAACTTGGCCCTGAGTAAAAAATAACAACCCAGCCCTAATCGGTTTGGCTCAGTGGATAGAGCACCAGCCTGCAGACTCAAGGGTCCCGGGTTTGGTTCTGGTCAGGGACATGTGCCTTGGTTGCGGGCACATCCCCAGTGGGGGGTGTGCAAGAGGTCTCTGTAAAAAAATCAATAAAATATATTTAAAAAAATAACAGCCCAATTCATTGCACACGTGTCATTATGCTTCTATCACAAAATCATATTTATTTACAAATAAATAATATCAGGGCCTCACAACAACCCCGTAGGTAGGTAGTGTTAGGCCCATTTTGTGGATCAGGAAACCGAGGCTCAGAGATGGTAAGTAGCCTACAGGACAGTCCCAGTGGGTGAGACTGTGGACTGAACCGAGGTCTGGTCCCAAAACTGAGCTCTGGCTCCACCGTCTCCCTCCTAAAGACGTACACCGTTCCAGAGGTGCTGGGGTGAAGCGACACATCCGCGTGGGTCACTAGGGAATCTAGAAACGTATGTGATGCCATACTTGGAAGACTGGCTTTGTAAATGGCCAAGTGTCACCTAAGGGCTGTTTCTTTCTTTTTGTTTTGTCAATCCTCCCCTGAGGGTATTTTTTTCACTGCTTTTCAGAGAGAGAGAAGAAGAGGGAGAGGGAGAAGGAGAAGGAGAGAGAGAAACGGAGAAAGAGAGAGAGATAGAGAGAGAGAGGCACATCGACTGGTTGCCTCCCGCAGGCACCCCCACTGGGGCAGGTATGTGCCCTTGACCGGGAATCGAACCCGAGACCCTCCAGTGCATAGGCCAACACTCTAACCACTGACCAACACCGGCCAAAGCTAAGGGCTGTTTCTTGATCCCACTGGACGTCCTCTGGGCAGTCACCGGGCAGATCTTCTCCTGCGCCTCCTGGAGGTGCTCTGACTCAGCATTCCTGATTCCGAAAACCACCTTGCAGGGCGGGAAGACTGACATTTCTCCCAAACCGCATCCAAGCACATCCAGGTGCAGAGGGAAGAAGGACCAGAGGCCACCCAGCCAGGCCCATAGGGGGACAGAGTGAGCGGGTCATGTTTGGGTGCTGGTCCAATGCTTTTCCCTGGGGGCTGCGTGGAAAATCGTCAGGCAGCCGATGACAATGACCGGTCAGCCCCATTCTAAAAACACCGTTCGTCTTATCTTAGTTCATTGCCTTCCTGACTTTCTTCCGATGTAACCGCATCGGTGTACCCCGTGTTTTCCGGGGAGATGCCGACTGGTCTGGGATGAATTTCCAGTTCCCACGTCCCCAGGCGTCGGTCCAAGTCTTTGCTTTTACACGGTGGCTGCTTTCCCCACGAGCCCCATCCTCCCCCGACCAGGTTCACTTGAATCTTCGGACGGGGAAGGCAGACTCTTTTGTAAGTTGCTGCCACCAGGGTAGATGTTTATGTTACACGTAATAATAAGTGAATAGAGCTGGATGTAAAACCACGTCTCGCAGGAATCCAACTGGGGAAAAACTCATAAGCTGGGAAGAGATAAACCAAAGCCTGGACGGTGGACGCGTCCAGGTAATAAGGTTAAGTATATTTGATTTTTGTTATCACTTTCCTGTGCTCGACAAAGCTGCTAGGAAAACGTATTATTTCTGTACCGAGAGGAGCACAAGGACTAGAGTCATCAATTCACCACTTGCTGCCCTCGGGCATGAGGCCCCAGCTCACCCCTGGGCAGAAGCTGCTGAAATGCAATGTTACCCTTTGGGGCGTGGGGCCCAGAAGCGGAAACATGGCAGCTTTGAGCCTTTTACGATGATTACCCGGGTGCATTACCTCCGCGTATTACCTTGTTAATTATCAGGAATTAACAGCTGCTAATTATCATCCGTGACTAGCAATTACGGGACAATGTCTTGTGGAGAATTAAATCACAAACGGCACACTTTCCTGCCCAAGCCAGTAATGAAAGGACTTCAGTGACGTGCTTCGGTGCTCAGTGACAGGTGAGGGTACCGGTGTGAGGGGGAGCCCAGCTACAGGGCGGGACAGTAGTTTAATTGGAGAGAAGGAGAAGGTGGAAGGACAGTCCAATGCAGAACGCAGACCTCAGTTTCCTATCGGCCCAGAGAAACCTGCTCCTGTGAGCTGGTCTAGGGACTCAGCATCAGCCTGGCCAGCTTCCAGCAGGACGACCGGTGACCGTCAGCCCCAGTGGCTGTATGGCCCTGCCTGCTGTCCACCGTGCTGAATGCCACTGCATTCTCGGTGGCTAGAAAGGGACCACAGATTCCTCGACACTCTTCCCATTGAGAGGTGCGGTCCACGCACGTCCCCTCCCCTTCAGTCTAGGCAGGTTTGGGACCGCTTCAACCAACAGCGTGCACTGAAATGCTGCCACGTGACTCCTGAGGCTGGGTCATAAAAGGAGGTGCGGTTTCCGAATGCTCCCAGAGCTCCCTCATGGGGAACCCAGTCCCCATGTAGGAAGTCCGACCTTCCTGAGATTGCCATGCCTTAGAGCAGGGTTCTCAATCTCAGCCCCATTGACATCTGAGGCTGGACAGTCCTTTGTTGTGTGGGTGTCACGGGAGTGCAGGATGTCAGCTGTACTGCTGCCTCTGTCCACTGGCTGCTGGGTGCACCCCCGCTGTAATAAACAGCAATGTTCCTCTGGTTGCGAACACCGGCTTGGAGGCCATGCACAGGTGCTCTGGTTGAAAGCCTTGCTGGGCCACCAGCCAACAGCCAGAATCAGCTGCCGGCCATGGGATCGAGCCATCCTGGACTTCCAGCCCAGTCGAGCCTTCGGATGACGGCAGCCCCAGACACTGTCTGATTGCACCTGCATGATAAATCCCAGCAAGAACTGCCTAGCTGAGCACTCCCAAAATTCCTGACCCACAAAATCATTTTTTTTAAATGATTTAAAAAATATATTTTTATTGATTTCAGAGAGGAAGGGAAAGGGAGAGAGAGACAGAAACATCAATGATGAGAGAGAATCATTGATCGGTTGCCTCCTGCATGCCCCACACTGGGGATGGAGCTTGCAACCCAGGCATGTGCCCTG